TCGAAATGGTTTCTTCACAACACATGTACCCATAAGATGTTTGTGAATAATAATAATAATATTAATAAAGAGTCATGGCTTAAAGTTCAAGGCCCATAATCATGCGTTTTCGCTTAAGGGGTTCGCAACTATAACAGTCACAAGACAGACGCTTAGACGATTGATACGAGTATGTTCATCACAGTACATATAACATCAGTGAGATTCAAACTTTTGGGATCTACTAGAGAGGTAATTACTGCTCACGGTGGCCTGCTTGAATACCTGGGCTACCTGTTTCTGCCATTTGATTATCTCAACAAGTTATCTGTTTTTCATTTCGTTTTAACCTCTCATTATACCCATTAATCGCATAGCCTATACAGGCGCGTCTATAAAAGGTCTATGGCCTTTCGCTGCACAAGTTACAAAAGAGTAAAACAAAAAACATCGCGGTGGTTGGCAATATGCGTTGAAGAGAATGAACAATAGTTGTATGTCGATTCCCGAGCTGCTAAATTCTAACTGCCGATCACTAATTAACAAGGTGGATTATCTTATGTATCTTAATCGTGGTGTCATCACAATTCAAGAATCTTGGTTAAATGATTTACAGGATGACTGCCTAGTATCATTACGTGATTTTAGAATTTATCGTTAGGATAGATCAAACAATAAAAAGAGATGTGACGGCGGTTTAGCTACGTTTGTAAACATAAACTGTGGTCGATCTACGTTTGCTTGTTTCAAGTTTTCAAATGACTTTATCGACTATCTAACTGTAAGATGTCGTCCAAAATATCTGAATAAGTACAAATATATTTATGTTACCAATTTCCACGTGACTCCAGACTGCACATCATCTGTGGTATTTGTTTCCGCGGATTTATTCACTGAGTTCGCTGTTACTGGCCTTAGTGATTCACTTTCAGTTGTATGTGGCGATTCCATTCCATGTGACTGTAGCTTCCTTACGTCACTAGGTCACCAAAATGTAGTAGATTTTCCTACTCGTTTGGATGCTCATTTAGACTTCGTTTTCATAAATGATGTGGGTGTAAATGTGACTCGTAAACGTGCTTCATTGCCTAACTGGGATCACTGTATAATTCGTGTTCTACCTAAACTATATGGAAAGCATAGGAAGAGTACACTCTTAAATCAAACCAAGAAAGTTAAATATAGGAATTACTCCGAAGAGAATATCCGTAATCTGAAAAACATGTTTCGTACGACTAACTGAGAATTATTTATAGATGATTCACTGGAAATCACTTCTGATGTTATCACTTGTTAACTTAAATTCTGTTTCGATATTTGTTGTCCCACTGAAACCATTTCTGTAAGTTTTGATTGACTTACATCTTCACAACTAAAACGACTACGGAGGGTGAAAGAATGTACAAGGAGAAAAACTCTAGTGACGTTTGTATGCTAAATGGTCTGATAAACTCAGAGATTCGACCTCTCAACTTAATATTTACTCAGAAACTCTTGTCTTGTAAAACCTCTCCAAGTATGTAGAAACTCTTTAAAGAACTTACAGGTGATAGACAGATTAGGAGTGATAACCAGCTGAATGTTTGTGATTTAAATAAGTCTTTTGCACTTCAGTCATCTGATGTAATGCCCCCTATATCCACAGGTTTAAAGAATAGCTGTTTTCTTAGTTTCACTGAGACTGATGTCCGAAGATGTCTCCAGTCACTTAATTCATCCCGATGTTTAGGACCTGATAGTGTCCCGAACATCCTTTTTAAAAAGCGTGTTGATAGATGAAGACTACGTTGATAGATTCCACTTGAAAATCGCAATAAGTAATTGTAGATATTGAGTAACAATGGTCAGAATCAGTCATAGTGTCAGATGTATTCATTATTTATCTTCCTTTAGGTCTTGAATTCCGATGTTCCTTCATTTCGAATCATCATCTCAATCCTATGACTCCCTTGATATCATTGATACTGCTATTATTTCAACTTTTCTCCTCGTCTTAATAATTTTACCTCGCTGCCCAGCTGTGGTTTGACAACTTTTGGTGATTCTCACTTGTGCCATTCTACGATGAATATAAATAATTGTAAATATTTATTGTCCTAATTTATAGTATGGGAATTTTTCCGTACAACAGATTGATTGAACTTAACTTTAGCATGAAACATAAACGTCATCTAAACTCCACTTTGGGATCCTATAATGCTTGTGACATTGGAGGCTCTTCGATAAACACAGTGTTGAAGATCAATTATCTTGGTGTCACCTTTTCCTCTGATCTCTCTTGGTCTTGTCACGTTTTATTGTTATCGAAGAAAGTTTTCCGTCTGACTTACTACATAAAGAGACTGCATACTCTTGGGGTTACTCGTGATTTAATCTTACAATTCGTCAATTCTTGCATATTACCTATTATTCCTTACTGTTCTCCATCATTCTTTCCCGGACTTTTGAGAAAAGACTTTGCTGTATTGCGGAGAGTGCTGAAGGCAGTTAACAAGGTGTGTGGTGAATCTTTCAAGGTCATAACTAATATGGTTGTGGATAGACATCTAAAGTCACGCAAACTCCTGGCAGGTTTTATCTTATCAGATACTAACCACCCCCTTCACCCATATCCTTCTCCTTGTACATCTTCTGGTAGAACGAGACGAAATTACATTAAAACCCATGCACGCAAGCAAAAGTATAAAAGTACTATAATACCTTACCTAGCAAATATACTCTGTGACGAACAGGTTGTTAGATTTAACCTAGTCAATAACCTGCATTCTTAACATGTCTCTAGTTTGGAAAGTTGTACAGTTTTTTCAGACTTTTTTAGCCTTTTTTCCTTTTTTTGTCTTTGACTGTATTTTTTGCAAAAGAATCTTGTTGAAACAACCCGTGCTGAGAATTCTATGTTGTACCAAAATATAATATTAATAATAATAAGTAATTGACTCATTAGAGATCAGAGACTCAAATAGGCTCGTTGGAAAAGATGACTAGCACAGGCCGTCGGTCTTCTGTCCTCAAAACGTAAATTTAAACCTGAATCTATGATGGGAAGCGACCAGCCAAGAACGTAAATAAAAATTTCGTCATAAATTCTTAAAAGTGGTAGTGGATGAATAAAAACGTGTTTGGGAACACTAATGATCCCTTAACAACCACTCAATATGTCGTCTGCTTTATTATCCAATCTTAGAACACCATAGACAAAGGTTGATCATGCGATTCTGGGCATTCCATCTCCTAAAGAGTTGCCTTAACCACTTCGAATACCACCCTGTTAAAACTAACAGACAGAAACGCTAAGTTTTCGGCCAAAATGGGGCTCTTAAGAATATATGATGAATTACGGGACCACAGTTTGTAAGCTGTTTGTTTCACAACTTCAAAGGTCTTGCACAGGTAATGCTAGTTCGGAGAACTGGTTGGAACCTTGATGGTCGAACGATATTAAAGTAAGCAAAATTTATGCCCTACTTCACCACACGTGTGTTCTACCTACTTAACACGTTTAGAGCAACGTATGTCGAAAGTCTAATACGAGAGTGCTTCTGGATACACATATTTCGGATATGTATTAAAGCAAACAGACGACGAGAGATGTGGATCGGAGAAGTAAGATAGGCCTGTTATATTTCATTTAGATGTGGTTCGAAGTTTGTGGTCATGGAAGATACAAGTAGGTGTATAGGCATGTGCAAACTATAATACATACATGATCTATGTCATATATTTACAGACAGAATGACCGAAAAGTTTGGAAAAATTCATCCGTAAAAAAGGTTAAGAGAAATATTTTAGGCGTTTGAGAATCTTGATAGATACATAGGAAACCCAGCAGCTCATAGGATCCCAGAGCTATAAGGCCAATCAACGACCAACATGTTTATCTATATCTGTGACTAACGGGGATAAATTTACGAGAATCTCAAAGTATTTTATGCAAGCGCCAATAATGTAAAAAACCACAGAATTATGCGTTTTACATCATCTGTTCTTGTCAATGTTACTCAAACTTTAATAGGAGTCTACAGGTAAGGTAACGGTAACCAAAACATTTTACACTGAAAAATTCCACAACTTACAGAAAGTGATATCGATTCATGAGGCATATTGTGAGCTGTTAGTCGACTAGGCAGGAACTTGAACAAGGTCTGGTGTTAATTTTAATACTATCAATGATGTTAATCTATCAAATATATCCTCACAGTAAAACACTTCGTGTGAAGCAGCTGGCGACAATAAACCAAGCTAACCCAAACGGGGCCCACCCAGCTGGATGAGCGAACGCCATTTCGTGAATTTTTGATGGTTTAAGCAAACCAATTTACTGACACGGTAGCATAATTTACAACTGATATGAGGTGCCTTTCACTAAAATATGAAAAGGCAAACGGTAGAAAAAAGAAAACGATCGGGACGAATAGTATATTGAATGGAAGCGGAGTCAGGTGAATGCTAGATTTCTAAGCTGATTGTCTAGATGACTAAAAGCTTCACAAATGTGGTGCTTCGCGATATATCCAAGAGAGATGACCTGAAATTCTCGTATAGTAGAGTATGAGAAACTGAAAGAGCCAACTTTCATTTCAAGTATCTTCAAAGTTATTCATTTTGAAGAGTCATTTATCTTTTCAGACCTATTAGCCATGTGGCATTTTACTTCTAGTGATTTTCTCAATCGCCAGTTTCATTATTAACTAGTGTTTCATTCTTCAGTGTCCCTGGCGGTTCATAATAGGAGTACAACTATTTACGCCCGAGGTCTCTTGTTTAACATCCGAATATAAATCTCAGGGAACCGCTAATTTATGATTTCTCTCTAGTTGGGCATTTACCTGAGAATAATGTATTACGAAAGCGTTTGCCAGACATATTGATCGTTATGGTGTTGAGACTTGAGTAATTGCAAAAATAAAAGCTTTGATCACCTTCTAATTGGGTGACCATATTAAAACAAGTAAACAACAGATGTGTTTGTCTTCACCACTTAGTGACTTTGAAGTGGAATACGTGGTACCGCTGATGTTGTAATGTTGCTCGCCGATGTCTTAGTTTGTTTTCTCTCATTATTTGTAAGGACAATAAGCCTTTGGGTGCACTAAAATTTAATTTAATTACAGATTGGTGTTCCTGCTAACGACACAAAATCTTGTGCTGTTTCAGGGTTCACTTCATTACTCAAGTGCTCCTCATGTTCAGAGTTGAAGAAGTTCAAATTAGAAAAGCTTGAAACATCCTGTTTTCAGTGTTGTGAAGATGAAAATGTATCTGGAACTTCTAAGGTATGTAGATTTCCTAGTTTATTTCCACAGAAATATGCTTTTGCAGAACTAGTAACTTGCTCGTGATCCTTAGAACGCTATCCTCAAGTGCTTGGTAAGTTTTTGTTGATAGGAATCGTTAGTATTTAGTAATGTTAAATTTCGCTAATTTCCCACCATGGAGTATGTGGTAGTTATTAGCTGGTCGAACTTTTCGATAGTCACAAGTCTGTCTATGTCTGAATTACTTACGTTAGCATGTATATATTTTGTAAAAGTAAGCCCATACTGCACTGTGTCTATTCTAACCGGATATCACAAATTCATCAAAAATAGAAGGTTATGGTGGTGAAGAGATTTCATACAGCGGGAAGAGTATTAAGGTTCTGATTATGTAGAAATATTGGGTTATCTGGTAGCCGTAACCGTCTTTGATACCGCATTTCGTAGAGGCAAACTACACAACATAAATATCTATGTGGTTTTCACGTCTTTGGGAAATGTTTTTTGGTATGGACATTCTATCACACTTAAAATATGAGCATTTTGTGTATACAGCGTGTCTTAATCGCACAAATAGCCCAAAGGCTTGTCCCAAATCATAATTAGGTAGGATGTAGGGTTCTTCTACTATATTTCGTTTCTGAAGCTGTTTTGTTTGTCGATCTCGCATTATTTCTCCCCATTTGTAAATACTATTTTAACCTGGACAGATCTACGTGTTCAGCTCACTTTGGTCGTGAATCTTTTCATTGTGTAAGATGCGCTGTATTCTGCGTACCAAGTTTAGAACAATAAAAAATAGCGATACCGCAAAACTTGAACCTACCACTGCAGACGTTCTTTTCAGATTACCAAGTCAGTTTAGTAAAACTAAACGCTTATTGGCTTGTTTAGGGGAATCTAATCATCTTTGCAATTATAACCATTTAGTGTTCCTTTTAGCTATATCTAACTGTAAACTAAGTAGGGATAAATCATCCTAACATCTAAACCACCAGTAAATCTATCTTGTTTTTGGAAATTCATTTTTTAGCATTCATTGACAGCAAAGATCGGAAGAGTATGACTAATCTAAAAGTGGTATACGAAAGAGGTCATAGACCTACAATTCGCATGCTCAACGAGAAACGACAAGTGCAAGAAGAGATTCCTATCGACACTTGGGATAGCGACACAATAATAGAGTTTGTTAATGAACGCATCACCAATCAATAAAGTTGTCAACAGCTTTTCATGCGCACTCGTGACTTGTATGATGATACATGAACTAAATCTCTTATAGGAGATGTTCTGTATTTGATGTTTAGTCCAGAGTGCTATTGATTAGTATGTGTTTGTTTATACTGTTTCTTCACTTTCTTTTAAACCCTTTCTATTGTTTGTTCTCAAACTTGGTTCAGTAGATCATTTTTGTGTCATGCGCCTGTATAAAGTATTATTCCCAAAATTGCAGCGTACTTCGTAATCTGTTGTGTTTCCTAGACTTGTTCTAATAAACATAAATATCTGTATACTTCTTAATGATTTGGGATATATTAGTACTACTATATCCACTAAAACTCAGTAAAGTTATTATTGGGTTTATTGTTGTCTCGATTTCTAGTTACCCTTCACGCACTTGAAATTCGTAAGTTGCCACTGCTGTTTTCCAATATCGCACCATAAATGAGTATAGTAAGATTGTTGTTTGACTGACTAATTGTATGGTACGGGGTTGGTTTAGCTAACGTAACTGGTCATCGAACAACGAGTTCACAGCTCTTGTTCTTATCATCCTCGAACTAATTTGGCTGATGTGGTAGAATATAATGATTAGAAGTATTCGAATTGGAGTGCTAACTAGGAATTCCAGAAGTAGCGTAATTCAAGCCAGATGGAACTAGATCAGAACGAACGAACGTATTGTATTTGGAATTCTTAATAAGCGGGGAATCAAGTACAAAAGAGTCATTAGTTCGTAAAAATACCACATAGAACCTAAATGAATCAATATTCCAACCAATATATTTCTAATGAGTGGTCATGATATGCAAGCCCGACCATCATTTCAAGGCATCAGGCACTACCGGGTACCATTTCTATGTCCCTGGTATATTTCTTTTATTGGAAGTTCACTTTTTGGTCAGTATTTTACTAATAATTAAGAGATCGCCGTAGAATAACAGTGTGATGGATAGCAGGGATAATACTAACAGCAATTATGATCTGGGGTAGGCGTAATTGGGATTTTGGTGCATGAGCACACTACATAATTCTTAAAACACAAATGATATGCGATAAGTTAAACATTTAATCAACAGTATTTATCTTTTAGACCCTTTAACTGAAGCCAGGGAATATGTTGGTGGAAGTAATGTTCTGAGTGTGTCTATTTATTAAGTGCGATTAAATATATGAGTCTAGTCATGAACTGTAAATATATTCAGAATTAATTAAAGAGGCTGCAAAAACACATGAATAGTTTTCACATTAAGGGTAAACCATTGTATTTTATAAGAAAACAAGCAACATGTAACTAAATCTGTGAATAAAATAATTATTGTGTATGCTATAACTAATCGTGCCCCCAAATGCCATGGTACGGCCGAGAGTGGGGAGAGTCCGCTCTCCCTCTCGAAATGCTCTCACATGGCCACGCGTATATAGCCTCTGCCAGGGAAGTCCTACTCACTGCCTTCTCGTGGCGAGAGTGTCGTTTACGAAAATGAGAGGACGAAAAGCGAATGTACGGCGCTTTAACCAGATTCCAAACTAATGTTGCACATGGGCTCCAGTATCCTGCCGGAACAAATGACGTACAAACCAATTTTTGGTCACCGGCTACCATGGGACTGCATCTCCTTACGATGCTCCACTGCCTTGTGGATCAGACCTTCAGGTCGAAGGCTCGGGGTGTGGCACTCTAAGAAAACCACCTGCTTCGGTTTGGGTGTGCGGGCAGTATCACAGCCCTCACACATATCGAGTGAGATTTGTGTGGCGCATATGTATTTGCTGCCTCTTTGTACCAATATCTATGTTTTATAATGAATAATAACTAATCGTATTTCTAGTTTTAAACACTCATTTCAATGAGGTCGTAGAAACATATTTACTTTCCTGATATGTAATAGAAGGGAAATATAAAAGCCGATAACTCCAGGTATTCAGTCTAATTATTTTCCAAGTCATCCGGAAATCTGTGTATCCGTTTATGCTAGAATTCCTGACTTCAAAACTTTTACCAATAACAATAATGCTACTTAGTAACATTAGTAGTCTCAAACATTTTACATCAATAAGTCAACTTTAGTGGTCATATTAGTTTGTAAAGGACACATAATCAGGGTAATATTTGAAAGCTGATTAAAACTGTATTCATATATTCTTGTTAAAATTCGATTTATAGGAAAAGCCTAAAAATTCTTGAGATCCAGTTGCCACTGATAACTATGAAATTACGTTATCTTAGATATCTCTCATTGACGGATCCAAAACCAAGCTTGAAATTTTTATGTAAGATTTACAAGACTTAAATTTAATCTTGGAATAATGTCAATGTACTCTTTAGGAATTTGTCAAATCCACTTATTTATCTATTGAATACTCTATTACAGCATTGGTATACGGGAGATTATAGTATATTTTCAATGTTTAGATTTTGTGTAACTGTTCAAGTTAAGACGCTGAAAAGTATTGATCAACTGCTATATTTATAGTGTATTAACAATTTTTCGAATGTTATTTAAAGTGGCTGCGAAATGTGCGACCTTCAAAAAATAGTTCTTTGTTTTTTCTATTTTGCTTTGTTTTAAATGAGATCTGTATTTTTGTGTTTAATTTGGTTGTTATTTTATTTGCAGTTATATTTATAAATAGTTTTTATTGAGTATAGTGTTTATCTTTTGGGAAAACGAACTATCCTAAGAATGTCACTTTTCATTTACATCGTTCGAAGAGATCTAATCTAATTCCATCTTTTTATAATAAATTTGTCCACTAAGTTTACTTGGTGGATTTCTTTCGTAAATAGTGAGTGAAATATTTGTTTAAACTAATGAATATTTATTTCGTTTTGAGTAAATTTATAATCTGATGAAATATACAATTACCAGCCTAAAAATTATCTTCTTTATATACAACAAGTATGCTTCATTTTCCAATCTAGTATTTGAGATAAATATTAGCAGGAAAGGAATATAAAAATTAGAATTTACTTCCAGCTTACCAAACTTAGTTGTAAAGATTGTTCTTTGATTGTATTTGTTCCAAGGTGACTGTCAAATCATATTCTTGGATTTCGAATTTATTTCTCGGTTATCTACATACTGTGATTCTAACTAATTAGTTACAAGTTTCTAATCCCAATATTTAAAAAATAAGATCATATTAGAAATTGCCATACATTGAGTATAACTCTCAGCTAGTATTTATTTTTAGAAGGTTTCCAAATTGTTAAACTCATAGACGAAGTACGATCACCACCAAAAACAGCATTAATTTAGTGATTTTTATATATTTCTCTTAATAATGTAGGTTGTATAAAAGCTGCTTTTCAGAGTTTAAACATCTGTTTTTATTGAAATTTAGTGAAGATTGAATTAACATATTTATCTGATTATTTTATCTGGTTTTCCCCATCTACAAATGTTGAGTAATGCGTTGTTTAGGAAGATCAGTACCTGCATCAACTATGAAGAGATGTTTTTGGTTATCACCACTTTGGATTTCGAAACCACTTGCTTTATAAAACCCGCATTTTAAATGGGGGATTCTCAAGAACACTAGAAATGTATAAATGCTCCTTTATTTTCCCATATACTAGCGTCGGTTGGAGCAGAGAATAAACCCTTGAATACCTTTTGTTTTTCCAATGGTTGGCGACTGAATTTAAAGTTAGTGACGGTGTACTATAAGTCCTATTGAAGAATATTTGCGTTGAGTATACTCATTCTGTTAACATTTGCGTAGCTACAGCCGGGTCATGACAAATAACGTTATATATTAGTATTTCTTTCCAAATTATCACACAAGAACTTACATTTGATCTAGATCATCTTTGAGCTAATTACTTCCATATCACGAATCTTTAAAATACAAGACACTGATGCATCACATTTTTCCTGAATATCGTTTCAGCCTTAAGGTTTTCAAATCAGTTTAACAATGATATAATTATTTGTTGGTTGATAGAAATAGTTAAATGATCTAATTAATGCCCTTGCTGTGTATAAAATTACAAGGAAAACAATTGTCTACGTTTTATTTTTTGATAAACAATACCGATTGTGTTAAGCATTTACAAACACCAATATTTAAGGATACCTTCTAAACTGAAAGTGCTTTGAACGAACAATACTTTTTATTATTTGTCTAGACTGGAAATATTTTCTTAGATTTTTTTTAAATGATAAAAGAGAATAATTCTGTTATATCCTAGGGAAGATTAAATTATGGGTAACTTCTGAAAACTATTAATGGACTAATATATATATATATATATTCTTATTATATAACTATTCAATAACTAGATTATACATATCTATATTCGTTTTGACCTATAGATTATTATTATATGATTTGCAATTCTTAAATTATGCTGAGTTTATTAGTTACAGTCTCCCACGTTCACAGAGTTAGGAGAACAAAGGACCAATAAGGACGCTAGGCTGCTCATACCGGTCGAACGTCATTGTCTTGGTACAGTACTAAGTTTGAATAAGTCGTATTTCGATTGGCGAGTAAATTATGTGATAATTAGCCGGTCTTAAAGTCACAACAAATTCAAAGATGAAATCAAAGAAATATAGATTATAAGTTAAATCATAATTGACAATATTACAACTTATTTTCCAAGTGTAGTTTCACCTACTCGACTTTGATCCTTCCTTCTTTCATATGGAGGCTTCTAATACTAAATGAACATGTAATCGAAAGAGAATGGATGAGATTTATCCAATGATTGAAAGTCCAATATTTCAATGATAGGGTCATCACTTCACTTATAAATTCAGTAAACTAAGAAGATGGTTGTAGATTGTTTGTCCCAGCTTTATTATTTCAG